TCTTGTATACAACAGATGTCTGGTCTGAGTTTCTGTATCCAATCAGCCAATCTGTGCCTCTTTAGAGGACAATTTAAGCCATTCACATTGATTGAAATTATTGATAAGCCTGATAAAATTTTAGGTATCAGTTGTTTGAAAGTCCAGTGGACATTTTTAATCCTTTCACCACTGTAGAAGTTAGAGTTTGAGCAATAGTTTCTGAGTTAGTTTACTTTTGTGGTGGAGGATTGCACTGGTAATTATGGAGAATAGGTCTGAGAATATCCTGGAGAGCTCATTTAGTTATGGCAAATTTCTTCAATGCATGGATGTCATTAAAGTATTTAATTTCTCCATCATAAATGAAACTCAATTTAGCTGGATACAGGATCCTGGGATGAAAGTTATTTTGTTTTAGGAGATTAAATCTCAATGACCACCCTCTTCTTGCCTGAAATGTTTCAGCAGAGAGATCTGCAGTTATTCAAATGTTCTTCCCCTTGTAGGTTATGGTTTTCTTATTTCTCTCTGCTTTCAAGATTTTCTCTTTCATATTAACTGTAGTGAAGTTAATTATGATGTATCTGGGGGATGTCTTATTTGGGTTGAGTTGTGCTGGGATTCTGAAGCTGTCTGAAATCTGAATTTCAGGATCTCTTGACATATCTGGAAAGTTCTCTTCCATAATATCATAAAGAAAAGCTTCTGTGTTTTGCAAAGCAACTTCGTTGCCTTCAGGGATTCCTATACGGCACATATTAGTTTTCTTCGAATTATTCCAGAGCTCTCTGAAAGAATAATCTGTTTTTGCTTTCCATTTCTGATTCTCTTTGGACATGTGGACATATTCAGAAGCTTTGTCTTCTATGTCTGAGATCTTTCTTCTGCCTCCTGCACTCAGTTACCAAGAGATTCTACCATATTTTCCAGATCTTTGAGGGCTGCAGTCTCTTGCCTTAATGTTTCAAAATCTCTGGTGGTTTTGTCTTTGAATTTGTTGAATTCTTGAGTGAACTTTTGGAATGGTCCTTGAATTTCTACTTCTATCTTTGCCTCTATTCTGTTTATCTTATTTTCAATCCAAATTCTGAATTCAATTTCTGACATCTCAGTCATTTGTTTGTAAAGGGGATCTTCAGTTTCATCTGCCACATCCTTTCTTGGGGGGGGGTTGACCTCTGGTTATTCATATTACCAGCAACATCCTTTCTGGGGGGG